GGATAAATCACGTGTACCAATAACAATGCGAGTTATTTTTAGTCGGAAATTTTTTTGGGGGGGTCGCTGTGTTACTTGCAATCCGTGATATTGGCGCGTAGCAAAGCACCTTCGGGGAAATTCTCAAAATTTTCTTATAAAATTTCTGAATCTATAAAATTCTCAAAATTTTTTATTAGTTACCTATGGTAACAATGACCGGTATACTAACACCATCTTTTCACGTATATTACTCAAAGCAACTTAACCAGCTCCCTCATTCCATCAAAATAGATGTATGGCGACGTCTTACTTCACGAAAACATCCATTATCGATAGAACAGGCAAGTAGTATTCATCCCGAAGTGGAAGATTTGTTAAATAAGGCAGTTGGAAATTATATTAAGCAAAAAGAGCGTCAGAAGATGAAGCCCATTACTAGCGACTGTGAAACTTCGTTAAGGCAAGAAAATGAGGAGTTGTGTATATCAAAGCAGGTATTGGAAAAAAAGATTGAAGAGCTTCTCGACTTGCAAGAGCAATATAAGTCTCGTGAGGTAGCCATGACCAGGTCTTTGGAGGAGAGTGGCGGGAAAGTCACCCAATTATCAGATTCGGTAGCTTTCTTCAAAAGTATAATTCCTGATACGAGAAAAGCCATTGCATCAGCTGAAAAGTCCATTGACATATTAGAGAATAAATGCCAGCATCTGGAGGATATTATTTCTGCTAAGGATAGGAAAATTATCGCTCTTGTTGATCAGATCCTTTCCAAAACGAAGCATAGTGATGTGACTATAGAGCCGGAAATATATTCTAGCACTCATGAAAGGAAATTATGGGCGAAGAGGCGTAGTGGATCTGAACATGATCTAGAAACCAGGAAAAAATATACATTTCGTCCTTAGTATCTAAGAAGATTCTACTCATTAGTGAGAGGTACATCCCAGCCAAGACGTACCCGGTGTGGATGTTCACGAGGTACAGTTAGATCGAAGACAATGAATTTTTGCTCACATAATGCCTTATCAATAATCTTAATCACACGCCAGTCATTAGCATATTGACGCACAATTCTGACTAGTTCATCTGTAGTGCAGGACCCGTTAAATAGGCAGATATGTGTGAGATTTTTTCGTATTATCTTTGGGCAGTCAAAGTAACTCTGGGATACATATATCGAACTGATGTTATAGTGGCGCCCTTCAATGAAATAAGGAATAATTTTCTCTTGCACTTTCTTTGGATCAGCGCATACATCTTCGAATATAGGCACTGTACCTCTATCCGGAGAAAAGGAATCTACCTTAGGGATCTTATCAGGCTTCAAAGCTCGGAATGTAATATTTTCATGATATGGCTTCGGACTATTTGCAATTATCTGGAATGCTGATTTGAGATACATATATTTTGGCTCCTTGAGTTGGTGGCCGATCAAGAGCAGATCATCACACTTGATATAACGTGTCCCCCCTTTCTTTCCATTAAACATTCGATAAAGCTTATTTCCGAGCATGAGATTAAGAACTTCATTAGTTTTCCCCGAATTAGTACGACCACAGATCAGAAGGGTGAAAGGCCATTGGGGAACAGACGAATGTCCATTAAATCTTTGGGCATCTTTAATCTCGTTAATATGGTAAACGAGCCTATCAACTGGTTCAAGCTCTTTTACTTTCATGTCAAACAAAGTATTATTAATGATATACTATATAATCTTGCAAATTTCTGGGATCGGCGGGTCTCGGAAAATTGCCAAGAAAATATTATCTAGCTTGGAGAATTATTCAAGAATCCTTTCTCGATTAGTGCATGCCTAATAAACGAGTATAAATCAGCTGTATGGGGCACCGGAATAAGAAATATACCTTCCTGCTTACATAAGTCTTGCTTTTTTTTATCGCGCATTCTCTGCTCATCCAAATCTATCTGGCCTCTCTTATGAAACATTGAATTGAGAGTGTAGTGCTGGGATCCATGGTATTCGAATGCAAGACGCAATTCCTCATTATACCCATCAAGATGCATCCCATCCAAAAAATTAGGCCTACATGATGGAAATTTCTTACCTAGCAGATCCTCAAAAATATATCGGCATCGGCGTTCACCGCTAGTATGATGGCATAGCGGACACCATTCGAATTTTTTCATGATATATTTTAGTGGATACTCCCACTGATGCGCACCATTCTCACAAGACCAAAGATATATGTTATGACCATTTATTCGCCCAGTTCTTCCTAGACATTGACCACCACGTCTTCTGGCATAATCAATAGCTTGATCTAGCTCGTTATTGATAGGGAAAGCATATGCAATATGTACGGATAATATGCTTTGAGGTGGACGACCAACCCTTTCTGGATCAGCTATTAACATGAGCTCCTCTCTTACAAATCCTCGCTTTGGAGCAAATTCATCATCACTCCCGAGATAATATAAGACCGGCTCATTCTTTATAACAACAACTTTTCGGATTCTATGAAGACTTGGGCTGAATGTAGGGTCAGTTGCACGCTTCTGATTTTCCATACCCCCTTCCCATTCCGCATTGGCAAGTAGGTAGCGGACGGTATCTCCTTTCTTTAACCTTATTTCATCTTGTCCAACTGGGCGCTTATATTTTGTAGATGGTCTAGATTCGACTCGCTCTAAAGCAATGGCTTTCACTGGCTCAAGCCCCCACTTTTCTGATCCCGGTTCTCGAATAAGACGTGTGGGGTAGTTATTCAGATAATCAATAGCTTCTGGCAAATATCTAACCCATGCTCTTATTAATTTAGGATCAGAAGATATTGATTCGACGGCATACTGGATTTTGTATAGAATTTTTGAGAGGGTCTTATTGAAACGCTCTACGAATGCAACTCTTCTGTGACTATATGGGCCGACCACTCGAATTGTGACATTATGCTCTTGCATTAGTCGGGAGGTTTCGCCCATAAATTCACGACCTCCATCACATTGCAGAAGCTTTGGCCAGGTCAATGGATTATTTCGATCACCATATACTTTCCTAAATGCTTTAGCAACCTCTGAGCTATTCTTAGATGTGAGTGGGACAGAAGCCTTATATCTGGAGGCGCAGTCTATAATGTTAAGTACTGCTTTATATTTTTTACCTCTATAGTGATCATGAGTGAGAAACAGTATATCGCACTGGTGTACACAATTAGGGCGTGTTATTCGCCCGTAGCTGGTTCTAGGAATGTATTTTGGAGAGGTTTTATTGATTTGGTATGACTCTTGATTTTCTAAAAAATTTTTGCATTCACTTAGGTGGAATCGATGCCCTTCTTTTTTACATGCGTCTCTTAAGGATTTGGGATTAGAATAATATCCAGTCAGGCGATAATATACATCACGCAATATAAGATTTTTTTCGATTCTTTTAGCCTCATCAGGATCTATCACAATTTGCGGTTGGCTCATTCTCAAGGTAGGATTATTATGATGGTACTATAAATTAGGATGAAATACCATGTTTGATCCAGCATATTCACAGCTTTTAGATACTAACCAGGAGCTTCGTAGTGAACTTCGAGATGAAATTTCTATTAATAAGAGTAATGAGAAAAAACTTCGCTCTCTCGTGAAAGAGCTTGAGCAATGTTATCGAACTATCTCATTACAGGATAATACTATTATAGCCCACGAGAAAGAGATAGAGAAACTTAAATCAGAAATATCTAATTTGCGAAAACAGCTTAGGGTTTTACAACAGGATAAAAAATTCAAAGATGATGTTGGGTCTATTCAAGATGGCCGAATCATAGAGCTTGAAAATAAGGTAGAACGTCTCAAGGCGAGAATCCGGATTCTCATAGATAAAAAAATCCCAATAGATAATTTAGATATGGCAACAACTAATCTTATCGCAAATGTTAATAGAGGACTAGAGCGAATAGAAAATCATATTAGAGGTGTTGGTACGCCTATGCAGAATCCTGCTAATGTTATAGATGGTATTAGAGGTTCGTTAAATACTATTCGGGTTACTTTGCAAAATATTACAACCGAACGTGATCAATATCAGAACTTATTACATGATTCAATTCAGCGAGTAGATCATCTTAGGAACCAGTTTAATGATAGTGGGAATCAGAATTTACGATTACAACGTTTGTTAGATGAATCCCGAACTCAGGCCGAAAGAATTACACAGATGCATACAGATGCTTTAAATAATGAAATGGAAGCACGTAGAGAGTATTGGCAATTGGCTCAAAATAGGCAAGAGCGTATTGGCGAATTGTTACGTGAAAATTTTGTCTACCGACTATTAATTCAGCGTAAGGATACTCAAATTGCTGAGCATAGGAGAAATGCACATAGATTAACAGTACGCTATAATAATGATACAGAACGCTGGAGAAGAAGGCATATAGGTTGCGTTCGCCAGGCACAAAATTGGAAGGGACAATATAGGAATTCGCAAAATCAAGTTCAGGCTCGTGATCAGAATATTTTAAATTTGCAGGGACAAATTTTGGCATTACAGAATAACCCACCTAATATACAACGTATAGGAATGGCAGGATATCCGCCCCCAAAATTTCATGGCACAGCTGGTGAAGATCCAGCAGACTATATAAGAGATTTGCGTCAATGGTGTGAAGCTTCCCCTAACCACGATCCAAATGCAGGTCATCAACACCGGATTCGTATTGATGGTCTTTTCGAATCAGGTTTAAAAGATTATGCAAAAGATTGGTATGATATCGAGATTAAGGGTAGAAATTGGGAATTGCAAAACATTAGCGATAATACTGGTATTGCAAATATTGGTGCCATCAATGGTTTAGCTAATAATAATGCGTTACGTGCTATTAATGTCAATCAGTTTCGAGGTGGAGCTCTCCATATAAGAAACACTGTACCAGCTGATAATAATGCAATTGCCAATCCAATAGTACCTGGACATACTGTTTGGGAAGAAGACTGGTCTATATCAGGTGGTCGTCCAACGCTTTTAGCCCCAAACGCACCAAATGCTAATGCCGGAGGTAATACTATAGCCCCTGGAATGTTTATTGGACAGAAGATATATACCTTTTTACATGACTTTCCCACGATCACTGCCGAAAAATCTAAAGTCAAATTTCAGAATCTTGTTCAAGGTAATGACCCTATAGGGCGATTCTATTCCAACCTAAAGAGAATGGTTAAATTAGCATTTCCTTTACTTCCCGCCGTAAATCAAGATGAATTGGTTAAACAACAATTTTTTCAAGGCCTTAAGCCTGATAATCAAATAGAAGTGAGACGAATCGGCTTAGAAACTCCTATTCCTGGATTAATTAAGAAATTGGAGGAAATTGAGAGGTATAGCGCTCAGCAAATTCTTGGAACAATCCCACAACAGCCTTCATACCAAGCTTCCAGCGGAAGTATCTCGTCGGCTGAAATTGAAAAGTTAAATAACAAAATAGCATCTTTACAGGCGCAACTAGCTCAACCGACTCAAGTGCACTCCCAGAATAATGAGGCCTTAGAAAAGATGTATATACGTGCAATACGTTTGGGAATGCCACCTGATGCACCAAGAGATCTTACATCCTTAGATAATTATATTAATGACGAATTGATAAGGAGATTGGGTGTTGCTAATACCAACTATGCTAAGCTTTCCAAGCAAATTAATGCAGTCAAAAAGTTGCATAAAAGTGGCCGTAAATCTACCCGTAAAACTTCTAAAACAAAGAAAAAGAAATCGAAAAATAAGTCTAAGAAGAAAAAATCCAAAAGTGGTCGAGTCCATATAGCTAGAGTAGATGATCAACCAGATTCGGATTCTTCTGATAATGATACTTCTTCATCCGAGTCTGAGGATAGCTCTTCTAGCTCTGAGAGTTCTTCTTCTGAATCAGAGTCTGAGGCTGAGGCCGATGCTGAAATTAATGTTAATATATCTCGGGCAAAAAAAAAGTGAAGAAAGAGCATAGCACTATTACTTCCTCGCGGAAGAAGAAATCAAAGACTTGCAAGTCTCGTAAGATAAAAGATACAGAAACATCTCCTTTAGCACCGGTTCCTATTTCCAAGAAGGAAAAGCAAACTTCAAAGTCCCCGACACAGGATGAACAATCCCACTTAGAAAAAATTATTGAAAAAATTATTGAGAAGGTGCTCAATGAAAAGTTTGGCACCATTACAACCCTCCTTCACCCGCAAAATAACGATTCTAAAACACCGGCCGATTCTGAGGATGATGAGTTCATCGACGGTCCTATGGAGATAGACTTTGTCCAAAGAAAAGAACCCGCCACAGATGTTGTCACTGTTAAATGTAAAATTAAACGTCTAGTGATTCCGGCAGGTACAGTTGATCCTGGTGCTAATTTTCCGATCATGTCTGAGGATATATCTAAACGATCAAAGCTAGAAATTGATACAAAAGAAAAACATGATCTCAGAGGTATTGCTACTACCCCCACAGAATCCCTTGGAATTGTCAGAAATGTCCCAGTAAATTTCGCTCCCGGATGTACTATATATGCTGATTTTGCTGTAGTTAAATACCCTAAGCCGATGCTAATCTTACCCAACACACTTCTTGATAAATATAATTATGATTTACTTGCATCAAAGCGGGAATTGAGACTAGAGTGTAATGGTAAGGAATTTTTTATCCCAATTAATATGCATAAGGTCAAGAATAAGCTCGAGGTGAATTGTGCGACCACTACTTCCAAATGTGATGAATCCTCGACCCCGGACTGTATTTCGCAGGATTTAAGTGAGGATGATGATGTATTAAAAAAAAAGTGAGTTATAAGGAACTTGAAAAAATGCTATATAGCACTCTTAAGTATAATGCAGAAATCAATGAGTATTGTGAAAGATTACAGGCGCGCTATGATGAACTTCTTGCCGAAGGCGCTTAAGGCAGAGAATAGGCGAGTTATTTTTCTAATATATTCTTCATATTTGCTATATTTTTTACGTTTCTTTCAACTATCTTCTCATGCGACGTGGGAATTGGTTGAGACTGGATAGGAGATGGTATTAGCGGTGGTATCCCATCCTTGGACTTCGATTTCTTCCCTCCGGCCTTTTTTGCCTTCCCACCTTCTTCCAAAACTGAATCAATAGATTTGCTAGGCTCTATCTTAGCATCACGTATTTGTTTTTCCAGTTCTGTAAATGGAGAAACGTCTTGGTCTTGGATCTCTGGCTCGGTCCGCCCGCCCACAACATTTATATTAGAAAGCGAAGCAGTCCCTCCAGGAGAAGCTGTTGACATATGAATTGGTTGATTCCACGCAACCCTATTTTTTTCTTCACCTCTCCAGATCTGATAAATACGTTTTTGTGATGTGCGATATTTATCCGTTAAATCCTTTAAAACTTTATCTCTAGGCTTTTTTTCAGCACATTGCATAATATGATCATAATCGGCTGGTGAAAAAGGAGGGGCGTCACATCTCATGCGTTGTCTGAGCATGGTAGCAATATTTTTTATATCTAATATAATACTCCGAAATAATTTATTTAATAGGATATATAGAAAGTATGTATTATTTCGAAAATATAGGATATACAGGATATATAGGAAGATATTACTCCGGACATATAGGATATACGGGATAAATAGGATATTTAGAAAGATTGTATTATTCTGATTGTATATGATAAGTTTATTATCTCGGAAATAAATTCGTACATTTTTTTTTCTAATATATAACCATGCTAATATTATGTCCAATGTGCATACATTGAATGATATAAAAGATAGAGAGGGTGGTTCTTATAAAAAACCCGGTCATCGGCTGGGTAGTGTATATGAGCAAGAGCTCGAAAAAAAAATAAGATCCGTTACCGAATTTAACTCTGAGATTAATGATCTCAGCGAAAAGCTGGTAGATAAGTACAATGAGCGAGAAAAGGAGTTTGAAAATAAAGCTAGCCAATTAATTGCGTCCACTACTAAGGTTAGATCCCAACTTATTTCTGAACGGAAGTCTCATTCTGAGAGTCAACGTGAGCTTGAAGCCAAATATTCTGCCGAAATCCAATCGCTCAAATCAAAGATTAAAACACTGAAGAGAGAGGGAACTTTGGCCCAGAAAGCTTCGTCCGCTGACAAGATCAAGATTCTTTCTCTTGAAACTAAAGTACGTGAATTGGAAGGTAAGTTGGATGACTTAGAACTAGAACAGGTGCTCCATGATTCGAATGCAGTGGGAGGGATGATAGAGGAGCCGGCCCAAATAAACTCATCTGATCCTAAAGAGATCGATTCTCTTAGGCTTGAATTGGAGCAAGTGAGGGATGATTTATCCTCGAAAAAATACGAAATAGAATGTATGGAAAAGGGAATAGAGTCCTCAAAAAACATATACAATCAGACGATAGATTCTTTATTTTTAACGCGGTCAAATTTAATAGAGGCAAATAGGTCCCTTAGGGAGCAGTTAGCGTTAAAGAAAATAATGAAGTAGATCGTCCACCCCCGCCTATAAACAATTTAAAAGAAAATGAGAGTGAACAGGTCCCAAAAGAATTACAACTTTCCGCTCTTAATCCTCCACCCTCCCAAATATTTTCCGCAGGTGGTGTAGAAGCGGTGTCTTTACCAGCAACTGCTCCTATCGTCACGAGCTCCTTGATGTCGCCTATGTTAATATATTCTATACTTACCCTAGTACTTATTACGATTATATGGTTTATGGCCAGGAAATGGTGGAATTCGCGGAAAAAAAGTAATACTGAGTATTCTCCTTACCAGAACTATTTTTTATCATCTCCGGGCATTTCCGAGGCCGGACTGTATGATCGGAGGCGCCTTGTCGGAGATAGAAATTGAAGTTAGCCGGTATTATTGTACGAAAAAATATATGCTATTATAAATATTATATGAGGTATCTTAGCTGAAATTGCCACATCCCGCTAAGAGTACTTATCCATATAATTCAATGATCTCGTCTATATCTGCTTCGGACGAATCATCTTTTTTGCTATTCTGTAATTTCGATAATGTTCGGTAGCGTGTGATTTCTAGGCCAACCACTTTGAACCATATGTTTCGGAAATCTGCTAGTAGCTTACACTCATCCAAATAATATGATGTTAAATATTGTTCTAAGGACATTGCTCGCTTCTTAGTAACTAATTTATACATACTTTCTCTATACCCTATATCAACCTCGGAAATTTCTTTAAGCAATGATGAAAGTTTTAAGCGGATAGATTCCTCTTGCTTATCTAACGCATTGAGAAAGGAAGTGTAATAAGCATTATATCCTGAGTGTTTTTCTATTTTATTAGCATAAGTAGTATCGAATAATTTTTTTGCGTAAATGCGGGCTCCTTTCCATAGATGAGATATGATGGCTTCATCTTTTTTCGGGCCTTCATGAAGGTTTTTGATATAGCCTCTAACCCACTTTTCAGCCGATTTCTGCGCTAGGGCATCTCTTATTTTCGATATCTCATCTTCATCCAATTCGTCTTCATCCTCTTCGTCTTCGTCCAGGTCATCTTCATCCCCCCTACCGTCATCCGCTTTATTGTCACCCGCTTTATTACCATCTTTTAACTTTTTTAAGGCTTCCAGCAAAGTTTCAGATGATGGCTGGTAACTATCATCATAATTTATAAAACGTGCACAGAGCCCGATAACACTTTTCAGATAATAGCTAATATCAATCTTTTTACCAAGACATCTTGCCACTTCTGGGTACTCCATCTTGTCACCTACCTTTTGTGATAAATCATTCTCAACTACAACATATTCAAAGCGCTCTCCTGGTTCTGGGATTTCATAAAGATAAGGCTTGGGTGTTAGGCCCTTTTTTATGAGCCGTTTGGTGTCTGCTTCTTCACGGGTATGTCTATCCCGCATTCGTGAAATGAAGCGCTGTACGCTCTTGTTATTTTTATCGGGCCTCCACACAGCAGTCTTTATTATTTCATTAAGATCTGTCTGAGAAATGTCCTTTACAGTTTCTTCGAGCACGTCCTCTATGATTTGATGTAAGGTACACAAATTATCCACCTTCATAGATTTATCCATAATACACCTTCCTACTTTGCGGAAAAGGCTTGACTGCCCTCGTTTTACAATCTCAACTCCTCGAATAAAAAGCTTATTATTAAAGTTGGGCTTTCTTGTATGTGGAATGCCGTAGTATTTTTTCTTTCCAGTAAACACTACCGGAAATAAGACTTCCTCATACGCCATTTTGAGAAAAGATGATCCATTATCGTTTCTGAGAAAGTCATTAACTTCGTCGCGGAGTCTTTCTATTACCCCCATAGATATATTTACCATCTGGGACCAATATTCTTCTTTCGAGAGCCCATTGCCATTATCATAAGCTGTATCACATTCCTGGAAGAATTCTTCTGGACAGACAAGATATAAGGAATCTGTATCCCCGTATTTTATCTGGAAACCCTTACTTTTAACGAAATCCGCGACAAGTTTGATATTTCTCCGTCCAGCTGATGTGACACCCCCAGCAAGTTCACGTAAGAAGAAAGGGGATTTACTATCTCCAGCAGTGCCATAAAATGTATTCATATATACCTTTAAAGCATATTGTTCCGCATCTAAGCAAGAGCAGTCGAAACAAAGGGAATTATATTCTGCTATGAATTCATGCTTTTCTTTATGAATAAAATGATATAAATTATTAGCAAGACCGCTATGCTTTTCTTTCTCTGCATTCGCTAAGACCTGCTCGATGGCTTCTGATAATGACAAACCTTTGCCCATTGAACTTATTACTAGATCCATATCTTCCTTTTTTGCTTTCAAAGGGGCGAGACGTCTTTTCAACTCATTCCGTTTGGCAGATAAATATTCCAATACAATAACATAGAGACCCTTTTCTTCAGGAATATTATTATGCCGAACAGACCAGGCACGTTGGGGGTTGTTATTAAATAGAAACTCTATCTTATGAAGCTTTTTGTCGCTTTGTTCTACAGATACGGCATGCTCTTGAGATAAAATGATTTTGTCGGGTGAGAGGTTGTAAGTCATAATAAGGCTAGGATATAATGATGCAAAGTCTAAGCCGGTTACAGGACGTCTGTTTTCGAGACCCTTTACTGGTGGGAAAACATAGGCTCCAGGGAATTTTCCAGTTTCTGTTTGTTGGCTTGAAATCATACTGGTTAGGATCCCTCTTTGCCACGCACTAGCACTTAAAAGATTGCAAACCTTCATACCTCCCGCAAAATAATGTGCGTCAAATAATGACAAGAAGGCTACGGATGCTACCTCTCTATACTTATTAATTGCATTATGCTTTACCATTAACCGCTGGCAACTAAGAGCGTCGATAATGCAGTATTTGGCTACTTCATGCATCTGCTCAGCCATTGTGGCATTTGTTTCCTTCAATGCCATCTCATAATATTTGTTCATGCGGTGAATAGGCAAATCCACTTTGTTGTCAAGTTTACACTCCTTTAAGTAATATGCGAGACTACTTTTTTCGTCTTTAGAATAAAATCCCATAAAACAAGGCCGGACATCAATAGCCACACAGCCAGGAATTTTAAGATGCTTTGAATGGAATTTTCCATCATTTACTTTTATCATGTTATATCGATATTCCCATTTTATAATTTTTTCCAGGCTCGATGGCTTGAATGACATATGATTGAACATCCATTCGAGAATCCCTAATTTATTAGCTTTCTCCACAATAAATCGCCAATCATATTGAGAAACATTAAAGCCCATTTCTATATCCGGAGCTAAATGTCTCCAACATAATGCAAATGCTTTCAGTATATTAGTTTGATTTCCACATACAATTGTGATCCATCGCGGATCTGGCGCAGTTTCAACATCGACAAGACAGATTTGCTTTAACGGTTCAGGATCATCTTTCCAATGGACAGTCATACCAATCATGAACACAACGTCTTCTTCGTATTTTGCATTAGGCACCTCACCTGTTTTTCGTGAGCTATATGTTTCAATATCCCACGTGAGAACAAGGGTGCGATCCCGTGAAAGTGCCGAGGAAAATAATGGATTATTATAATCATCTTCACTTATTGGATTGTAATTATTCACAGATACTTGGAAGAGATAAGTGCCCCCCTGAATGTGTTCGTATAAATAATTACTTAATACTGCCCAACTCGAAAGAGGTAATCTTTCTTCACGGGCTACTTTGCGGTAATAATACTGGCAGTTTAGATCATCCGAGGCTGTATGAATGCCAACTCCACGAATCGCCTTCAATGCATTATACCGATCAAAGTGGTTCCAAGTAGTAATGCGAATATAGGCTCTCTTTTCTGTATGATACCCTCTAAGTGGGAAAGCACTAATATTCTCGATCCCAAATTTTGATGTACCTTTGAGAGTATTGGATAATATATTTACTAATCTGGTCTTAAATGTAGATAGTGGCATCTCTTCAGGTACTTCGACATCAAAGAAGGGCTTAATGCCTGTAATTTTTACGACTGCTTTTTGTCCATTAATCAAAGTACCAGTAATACGCAAAATATAGGAGGAGATACCATTTACATATTCGGAGGTATCATCACTAACTTCAGTAGGCATGAAATGTATGGGTTGCTTGCCAGATAGGCTTTGTTGAAGTATAACGGTCATCCCATTATCAAATTCTGCCACAATATCATTACGTGATGGAATACCAGTTAAGGGGCCGGCGCCGTCGTAGCGGAGGGCTGGGGCGGTTCCGGTGCGATCAGTTTGGTCGAAAATAGTTGAGGTATGCA